CCATATTGCTTCCGAGCATGTCTTTTATGCTACATAATATATATTAAACATAATAAGTACCTTTTGTTCTATAATAAGCATAAATATAGCTAATAATATTAAAGATATGATGTAAAATATATATGTAGATATGCACATATCAATAAACTCTCTTACAGAATCAAGATCGGACAGAAAAGCAAACACATATCCCATGAACCATATAACAAAGAAAACGAACATAAGCAATATTGACTGGTGCTCCTACTTGCTTGGCTGTTTGGTTAAAAGCAAACGATCTTTTGATTTATCGAATTCAACAAGCAATTTTGTTGGACCATCTGCTTTTTTAGTGGTACGTTTAATAACTTCTCTTTTATTTCATCATGATTTAAATCACATATGATTATAAAGACAAAATACTTTAATCACATGTGAACCTGTTAACTTTTAAAATAACTAAAATCACATGTGATATAAAAGAAAATTAATTTAATCACATATGATTGTAATAATAATTATTTCTTCTTTTGTAGTTGCTTTATGTAGATAGAGTCCATTGCCCGGTAATGAATGTTCAAAGAACACGTTCAGTTATCTGTCACTGGACGTCAGAGCAGATGAAGCTCAAAGAAATATATGAAAAAGAAATAATGAAAGAATTTGGTACAGGACGTTTAAATGAAGAGTTTGTAGAAGAAGATATCAATGAGGAGGTAAAATTATATATAGCAGTTATACAAAAAAAATTGTCATTGTTTAATAGTCTTAATGTTTTATCATATACGCTAATATAAACTTTAAAATATTTCTAATTTAGGATTATGAAGAAATGATTATGATAAAGTGTAGGAAGTTCAGTTTGTTGATTGAAAATGGAGTCAATAACTTCCCAACAAAGGTAAGATTAAATCATTTAAAAAATATGATGGACAAATTTTTTAATGATGAGGAAGAAGGTAAGGAAGAAGAAAAGCACAATGATGATGATGATAATGAAGATAATGAATATGAAGATGAAGATGAGGATGATGATGATGATGCTGATCATCATCATCATCATCATGATCAAGATGATCAATGATAATGTGGATGAAAATGTTGAAGGCGATGAGAATGCTAAAGGAGGTAAGTAATATAATATTTTTCTGTATCATATATGATTATTATAAAATATATTTAAAGAATCACAAGTGATTAACTGCAAATTTTATTTATATACAGGTTTGGATGGAAATGTATTATATATATATCTATATATATATATTATATATATATATATATATATATATATATATATATAAATGTATTGAAGGACAACTTATATGATAAAAATGTTGTATTGAAGGAAAACTTTTCTTTTTATGTATTAATTATTTTAAATTATGTTGTATTTAGTTTGTACAACTTAAAAGTCTTTTTGATGGAATAGATAATCACATATGATTAAATTATATGAAACACTTCATTAAATATTGTCTATAAATATTGATATGTTTTTGTATAATCACATACGATTATTAAAAAACATATCAATGTTTATATATGACCATATCGCATGCATTTTCAAATAAAATGATAATATAAATAATGATTCGATTTAAATAAAATCTCATATTAACAATATTTTTTTTAGAAAAATATACTAATTTTTTTCATTTGTGTTACTTTTTTAGAAAAAATAAACATAGAAGATGTCGACAATGTCGACAAAACTATAAAGAACACTATCACAAGTATTCTTGGAAACACAATCCAATTTCCATAATCACAATTACTTAATAATAATGAGGTCAACTTTATTTATGAAAAAAATGGATGATTATAAAGAAAAGAAAGAGGGGAGCCTAATGACATCATATGATCTGAACATAAGCCAAATGACACCACTACAAGTAATATTTCATGTTTTTTAAACTTACAATCACATATGTTTATACTTGTAATCAAATATTTCTTAAACAATCACATGTGATTACAAGTAATTATCAGTTTTTCAAATTCAATTAATTTTATGTTTTATATATAATCACAATCATAGAATCCTTCTCAACAAGAAAGACTTAAAGGGAAAGAACCTATAATGGAAGAAGTTCAAGAGAGGAGTCTATCTATAGTGGAAGAAGTTCAAGAGAGGAGCCTAATGCTAGGTAACACCACCACATGTAATATTTCTTGTTTTTTAAACTTACAATCACAAATGTTTTATAGATGTAATCACATATGATTTCAATATTTCTTAAACGTACAATCACATGTGATTACAAGTAATTATCAATTTTTTAAATTCAGTTAATTTTATGTTTTATATATAATCACAATCACAGAATCCTTCTCAACAAGAAAACTCAAAGGGAAAGAATCGAAATTATTAATTATACACAAAATTGTCGCCTTAAGTCACGCTTTACAAACGGCGTGGTTCGCCACAGCTCGAAAAAGCTTAAGGCTTGAGACTGCCGCCAAATCACGCCTTACGTTATTTAGAATCTTGGCTAATATAGATAATTTATTATTTCTTCATATGTGAATATCATATTAACAAAACAATTATCATATATGAAAATAAATTAATAAATATATCATATATGAAAATAAATTAATAAATATATGCTAATATAGATAATTTATTATTTATTATTTATTCATATGTGAATTTCATATGCAAATTTACATTAAACTTTAACAATGTATCGTATATGAAAATAAATTAATAAATTTATGAATATAAATAGAAAAAACATCATAAATGGTCCCTGTGGTTTCACAAAATCTGAAGTTTAGTCCCCGTGGTTTAAAAACCTCATAGATGATCCCTGTGTTTTCAAAACTTTTGACGATTGGTCCTTATTGCTAACACCGTTAAGTTTGTCCGTTAACTGAAGGCATTTTCGTCATTTCACGACCACAGGGACCATTTATGATGTTTTCACTTATTTTAAAATAAATATGCCAAAAGCGGTTTCTCTCTCCTCTCTCTCTCTCTCTCTCGTCAAGAACACATATACACACACAATACGAACATACATTCCCTACAACCAAAATCGTTGTCTGCGATCCACCCCTTTCTCTTCTCCTTTTTTTTGAATCCATGAAAACATACCTGCAATTAAGAAAAGGATATCGAAATTGAGCAGATGAAATGAAAAACCCTCACCCCAATCTTTTCGATTCATAGAAACGAAATCAAATTAAGCAATCAGAAGTTGATTTGGGAGAAGAACGTTGGGGAAGTTTTACCTAGCCATCAACTCTCTTTTGCTTTGATAGATGCGCCACCACCATCGACCTCATTTGTTCTCTTCAAGCTACCTGCTCCGGCCTCTGTCGTGTTCATCATCATCTCCACCCACTTAGGTAATCAATTGAGAAAGGAAAAAATATCTTCCTCCTGACCACTGTGAACAACCAAAATGAACAAAAAACACCACCAAAAAATCAAGTTCATTCTTCAAATCTTGAAGAACATATGGATTTCCCAATTGAATCAAAACCTAGAAACATGAATCGAGCTGTAACAATAATTGTGAAGAACAAATGGATTTCCATGGATCTTACTTACTCGTATACTTGCTTTATCAAGTTAATTTCTTCTTCTGGGGACTTAACACCAGAGTTCAAATCATCAACCTCCCACCCCCACCACCATCAACCTCCCATCACTATCTTCAACCTCAAAATCGGAGTTCAAATCTTCCTTTTTATCCTCAAAATGTGGGTAAACCTTTCTTTCTCAGAATAAACAATGGCAAAAAAAAAATCGATTTTTAAAGAACATTCAAACCCTGGACCAAAAAAACCGAACCAAAATTGGTGCAATATCAAAGACCCCATCGTTCTCTTCCTTTTAATCGCATCTGAATAAACAAAACATTACGATAACTTGGTGTTTGATTTTCAGGTTTAGAGAGGTTTGATTTTTCTAATTTTCATGTTTGGGTTATCGTCGTATTTGTGTGGAGGAAATGGGCGGGCGGGTTTAATGATGATCGGAGGTGAGGCAGACGCGAGAGAGAGAGAGAGAGAGAGAGAGAGAGACCCGTTTTGCATATTATTATTATTATTATTTTAAAATAAGTGAAAACATCATAAATGGTCCCTGTGGTCGTGAAATGACAAAAATGCCCTTGAGTTAACGGACAAAACTTAACGGAGTTAGTAATAAGGATCAATCATCAAAAGTTTTGAAAACACAGGGACCATCTATGAGGTTTTTAAACCACGGGGACAAAACTTCAGATTTTGAGAAACCACAGGGACCATTTATGATGTTTTTTCATATAAATATATTCCAATTATTCATTTATGTGAATATATTTTGTATACACAAAACATAAGTATGCTCATATATAATATTTATTTGTATAACAAGGTTTAGTGGTTTGTTAAGTTGATGTTGTTTAAAGTTAATCATGTAAGGGTATTATCCTAAATGTAATGTGTCTCGTTTGAGGGTATGAGGAATGTAAATGAAAAGTTTGTTTTTGTATGAAACTTAAATAATTGTATATAAACTAGGGAAGAGGTCGTACGTTGCACGGGTCAGACTTCTTTTGTTGATATTTGGTGGGTTATTTTCATGAAAATCCTACAACGTTGCGCAAGGAAAATAGGGACAGTTTATTTGCCCCGGGAATAATTTTTATTTATATTAGATAGTTAGACATCCTCCATATGTTCTCCACTGTTTGACATATAATTGAAAAAAATGGTACATTAATGTAATATAACATCAAAAGGAAACAACCTAATCTTAACTAAAAACTTGAGTTAAGAAAACGTTACATAACAAAAGGTTACATCAAGATCTAACACTCTTAAACAGATCCCATGCATACCGAGGTGTTTAGCAGCAATAGATGGTAATCTGCAGCCTCTCATTGGGCCTTTCCAATCCTTTTCTTCTTGTCAGTAATTCTTGCCCTCTTTTTTTGCAATGTCAATGGTGTCACCAACCTCTGTATCAAAGGAGTTTGAGAGATTGAAGAGCTTGCGGATCTTTGATGCTCTTTAGGGACCTCTCATTCTTGGCTTCTCAACATCGGTCCGGGCAGGTCATTGTCACCCTTTTTCACAATCACTAAATTCAAAACAGAAATATCTTGGCTCACAATGCACCAATGGCCAGATTTCCTCCTGAGTTCACCATTACGCCTTCCATATCCTCTGAAGCAAAGAGTGCCTACAGGGGGTAAAAGAGTCATTTACTTATTATCAAAACCAAATAACCAAAGTATATAAATTTAAAGACTTTAATATGAACCTACCTCGGACAAGTATATTACCAACACGCCCTGGAGCCAACACTCCTTGCTTCATTGGGAAACCTTGTTTGTCACATTCTCCCATGATTTTGAAATCGGACAAGTATATTACCAACACGCCCTGGAGCCAAACCTTGTTTGTCACATTCTCATGTTCATCAAAAGGGTAGATAGGTTGAATATATAGTACCCATAACTTTGAAAGCATTTAAAGAATGAAAGAAGGAAAGTATCGGTTTTAAAAGTAGTGTAATAAGGAATGTGGAATTACATGTATGTATTCCTTTAAAACCATTTTAATCATTTACAAAAAAAATTGAATACTCATACCTTTAACTTTGATCTTCTCGGTATATATAAACTCCAACCAAACATACCACAAGAACATAAAATGCTTTCCAAAAAAGCACTTCTAAGACGGTGAGATCTAACCCATCTACTATTCATAGCGTAGGAAGGATGCAGAAAACAAAAAAACACAACTCATAATGAGAAATCGATCTAGAGATTGGCATTTTTCAACAGAAAAACTCAAATTAGAGCAAAATAAACGATATCAAACGTATTATCAAACAACTCCAATAAGTACACCACAACAGACGAATCTGAAATTATCTAAAATTGGAGCAAAAAAGTAAAAAAAAAAAATACAATGATAAAAAGTTGAACATACCTGCTTCAAATTAGTTTGTTTGTAAATAATCAATAACTTCTTACATGCATCACATTCAGTGTCATGAAGTTGATCCATGATAGAGATTGCTTCATTCGTAGCAGTCTTATCAAGTGAATATTAATTAGAATCCAGTCAACAGTCAACTTTATGTTACATTATGAATCATAAATGTTTTTATAGTAAAAGTACAAGATAGATTTCTGAATATGAATACCTCAGCTTCCACACGAAGAGCCTCTGTTTCTACCCCCTCTAATACCAATATTTACTCCTCCATTTTGTTCTAATGCAGCCCTGAAAGCAGCATGAAAGTAATTTACCTATCCCTCATGTTTATACTAATATAAATATTATTTATAATGTTGCAAAATCATATATATATATATATATATATATATATATATATATATGATGTCCTACCATAAATACATTAAAATTTTACATAATTTAACCACATATTCCCATCGTCTCAAAATAATTGTCCACAGACAAAAACACATATATTAAGGAAACATTAGTTATCATTAACTTTATTAAATGAAATGACAGTCTTACATTTTTGTGGCATTTAATTCCATGGTAGTTGCATTTAATTTCATGGTAATTTAACTAATAATGAGGGGTATTATGGTAAAAGACATATTTATTTTTAGAAGTAGGCTATTATTTTGGAACAAACCAAAAAGGAAACATGGACTATCAATATGGGATGGAAAGAGTATTAAATTTTAACTTTGACAAGAACGATATATGTATGGGACATGTTGGAACCCGTTCCGTCTATGACTTGAAAAGTATGGATCATATTGACCCATACAGAAAATCAAACAATTACACGTGACTTTCAGTTAAGTTCATGGAATTTGTCGGTCAATCTAATTCGATCCTCTAGTAGTGGAGTCGGCACACTCGCGACTTCAACTCTTCCGATTATTTCGCGAACTATTTCATGTTGTCATGCAAGGCCCCTAATATTCGCCTAACGACTGCATTTTGAAGATCCTCATGATGTTCTATATTCTCAAAGTTACACAAGCATCATCACAAAACTTTGAGCCACAAAATGAAGTCCAACACAGTGATGCCAACAATATTGTGTTATTTGGCCTCCAAATGTGCCATTTGATTATGTCAGCAATGGTGATAGAGGTGACATAATAGATTGTTGTGACTGTAACAAAAGTAAAGTTCAAAATTTATATATTGAAATTCTTGGTCTGATGAAAAAAATATAACATTAGGACATGTTCTCTTTTCGAGTTGAGTTTTTCATTTTGGACACCATTTTATAACAAAATAATACATAACTTCAAAGATAACCTATAATCTAACTAATACAAAGTACATACGAAATACCTATTTTATTGCAAAAAATGCTCAATTAAAAAAAAGGAAAAAATAAAAAGTTCTTCGAAATTTGGATTAGAGTTTTCTAAAATCGAGACATTGTTTTCTTTAACTACCTACGAAGTAATATGTAGTTCATGGATGTTAAATGTATAAACAAGTTATGTGAATCCGAATCTATAGTCTAATTGGAGAGTCCAAAACATCGTTCCGAGATGTGGTGGTAATGTGGTATCACATTTCAAATTTTTCATAAATGGGTGACTACATAAATGAATGGTACCCGGTCTTAGGTCTTAAACTGAACATTTTTCGGATTATATGGTCAAATTCGTAAACGGACAAAATCTAGGTCATTTTTTTATTTCATATGATATTTTTGTGATTATTCCATTAAGAAAATGATTTGTCATCTACAATTAGGTTATTTATAATAAAGGTAATTTTCATTTCACTTCATTATCAGATGTTGGTGATTTTAATGTTATCAATATATTTTAGTGTAATTATTATTAATAATGAGATAGGTTGAGCTTCATTTACTAACCGAGCTTGGAGGTGCGGGGGTACATACTTGGTATGATAATTATGAACTCGGGAATACGGGGGTCCGGGGGCAACGCCCATGGGTGCAGGGTTCCAAGGGGTTGTAGCCCTTTGGTGGGGTCTAGGGGCAACGCCCCTGGCTCCAAATCTCTCCTGATGACATCTTGATGATGTAAGCGTTAATTATGTCTAATAACTACCGGTTTTGGCGCCAAATCTGGAGGCAACCGCCATAACCTCTTTTCCCTCTAGTATAAGAACCTTTCTCTGGTTCCAGAAAAAGGGTTGGAACTCATATATATGAAAAGTGATGTGGGGTCTCTCTCTTCTCGCTCCTCTCTCGCTCTCTCTCTCTCTCTCTATCTCTTATATATATATATATATATATATATATATATATATATATATATCTATATATATATTATATATACAAAACACAAAAGTATATTTATGTGTTTTGATTTTGAAAATGGTCTGATTTTCAAAATTGCATTTCTTGGATTATCCCAAATGGGATTTCGTGATACCCCAAGCATAAGGGTCAAAATTACAGATTTTGGAAAGTGATTGCAATCACAATCCTAGAAATTATCCAAGTTAATTGATATTCTAAGACTCAAAAATCTTACATCGGATTAGGAAAATCCTAAAGGCCAAAGAACGAAAATTAATATATTAGATCAAGGGAATCATATTCATCAAATTAATGGTAAGTTTTATTACGTTGGATAAATCGAATCAAACGGTGTTTCTTTCACTGCAATCTAATAAATGATTCCAGTTTTTTCCCGATTCCATGATACCAATCACAACCAAATGATTATACACGCTAGTACACAGATCAAACAGTTGTCCCATTCCAAAACTTCATGCACATTGTCAAACCCTAATCCCCTATCAACCCTCTGAAACTCATGACTAATATTAGCAGGTGTCTATATCCTTTGGTTAAGAAAGAACATCAAGAATTTACAGAAGACATAAACAAATATCTACAATAATTTAAACAAGTTTATGAGAATTCTAATCGTTGAATTTGAGAATTCGAACATGTGAATGTTAAATTAGACGATTGTCCAGAACTTCTTTTGGCAAATTAACACGGATTCTGATTGCTTTTGTTGATTTTCGAGTTTATGCGAATTAACTTCCCATAGGAACTTGGGAGCAATATCTTTTATTCTAGATGTAATGGATTCATCATCTCTGATAATAATAAAACCCTGCAGAAAACAAGTTTAAATTTGTTACATCATATGAAATATCATTATCCACTCATTACTTAGGTCTTAAAGTTCAGAGCCAATGAAATATAGATAGGTCATAGGATCTTATGATAACTTGATTTTATACAAAAATTGTGGATTTTTCAAGTAATACCTGAGGTCGTATAAGACGATCCATCTCTAGCATCATATCTTCCAATAAGCAACCATCTTGTTGGTTTCCATAGTGAGAAAAGAGATAGCTTGAATGCAACAAATCATATGTTCTTGGATATGATGAAAATGGCTCACACCTACACGTGGCAAAATCACAAATAAATCATTCAAACAAACATGGAGATAGACCTAAGAGATAGAATAATAGAATGATAGATAAAGATTTTGCTACTTCAACTCACCAATCATGAAAAGCACCTATAAGACCACGTTCATAAATGGCTGATAAAGTATTGTTCATTGTTGAAGGTACTACATTCATTACCCAAACAGGCCAAGTACTAAAAGCAACTGCAAATCCACCATAAAGGGCATTCATGTCCATTACATTTCTAATTGAAGTATCATCAACATTCATCAACCTCCAATATTCACGAACTTGATCATGCCAGTAAAGGGTGTCTGAAAGAAACTTCTCTTGTGTGAAACCTAAATTGTCAAGACTTTCTAAATACACCGAATAACGTTGTGGTATAGGAGGGCGATTTTGAGGATCTGAAGTGGGGCCCAATGAAACACAGTTCCTCAATGGTGTTTTCCATGAAGGCTTATTGTTACTATCTATAGAATCATCACATATATTTATAATTTTCTCCTCTACATTGTGCTGAAGGCATGACTGATCAACTTCCTTTATCCATATTGCTGTTTGAACTTTCTTAGCAATAAGCTTCCAGCACATTCCGGAAGTTATCTTCACTAATTTATCCCAGATAATAGGATAATCCTTGTCTTTTCTATAAGCTGGAGGAGCTGAATACACAAAATATCCATTTGGTCGAAGAAGTCGATTTATTTCTTTTAGTAGAATGCCATCTACACAAACACAAAACTAATTAACAAATTAATATCTATATAGATTAACTACAACTATATATTAACTATGAACCATCCAATCAAAATCATGTCAAGTACAAACTTTTTTGTCAATGAAGAAATGGATACAATACAAAACGTACCATTTTCATGCCAATCAACACGACATCTTGAACAGTGAACCATTTCAAATGAATGACTAGGATATGGAAGCTGTTTTGTAGCTAAAGCAGAAATCATAGCACCAATCCCACGTTCCAAAGCAAACTGAATTTGATTTTCATGACCATCTTTGGGAGCAAATGACATGGTTTGTATATTTAAAGGAAGAAGATATGCAGAAAAGCTAGCAACTCCACAACCAACATCAAGAACCTGATATACCCCATTAGCACGAAGATCACCTGTTTCATTGGTTGTCATATTTCCTAATCTTTGAATGTATTCACTAGCTCCATGTTTAAAATGGGTCCCACCACCTGGAAACCACCATAGTTGATCCTTTTCATGCACCCAATTTTGGCCACCTTTTACTTGAGAAAGACGTGTATGATTCACGTTGCTTCTCCATACGTAGTCTCGACTTGTTGGCCATGTCACTGGAATCTTGTAATCTTGTGGTGGAGGTATTAAGCAAAATAAACGTCGTTCTAATGGAGGGCAATGTCTTTCCAAATCTTCTCGTTTGGAAAGATCTAAACTTGGTGTTAATTCTTTTATATAAGAAGGATCATAACAAGGAATATACTCATTGAATTCCATGGGGCATACGTTCATCCCGGATTCTGGAATTATAATGGGTGACTTACGATGAGTGAGAGTAACCTTGTTACTAAAAGTAAGAGTATCTGCAAGTATAAAGATTGATCAGTGATGCAAATATATTGTAGATTATTAAGATCTACATTCTACACAAAGACAAATCAAAGTGAAGTCACGTTTTAAGCGTTTATGTGTAAATGGGTAGGATTTGATGTAATATTCCCAAAAAACAGATCTACAAAAGCAGCTAAAGAACTAAAATTTGCAAACGGAACCTTGCGCAATTCAAAATTAAGCAAATTAAACACCATAGTTGATTGAGACCTTAAAAGAGTAGTACCTATTGTTTCTGAAGATGATGGAGATTGTATTGATGGAGAATTTGAAGAATTGCGGCCGAAAAAAGTTCCGGTATAGAAAGATGCAGTCATTACGAGAAGAACCAACAGTATGAGCTTCCCTGATTTCGAATCGAGGGCTGATGGGGACAAAGGGAATCCGCCCATTTCTTGAAGGAGTATATGGATTATGGCACAAGATTTAATGATTTACGGATGCGATTTGTGTAGTGGAGTGAAATGAGAGTAGGGATTTGAATCCAGGGGGCGATCTAAACAAGGGAAGTGAATGAGCACGAAGGGAATTAATGTCGGAGAGGTGGAGATTCGTGTCACTCCCACTGACACAGTACTTAACTATATATTTTTCTCGGGGAGATTGTCTTTTACGGTTTTACAGTTTCACTTTTTACCTCGTGATTTTATTTTGTTAACTTTGTTAGAAATCTTCCCTTAAGCATTACAAAATAACCGTTTTACTTTTATTTGATTTTTTTTTTTCTTATTTTTGCTTTTTATAAGTATTTTATACTTATTATTATACTTTTATTAAAAAATAAATAAAAATCAAAAATTATAAACACCACAAAAACAAATTAAATGAAAAGAAAATCAGCATATGCCACCCTCAACTCTCCCCAATTAACAACATCCTCTGCTAAAACCACATCATATACATGATGTTTGGGAACTCCAACCATCGTTGGGGGATCTACAATGATTAAATTTATCAAGGCGATTGAGTTACACCACAACCCTAGATTTATGATGGCAGAGGTATATAGTAACATTAGTTTAGAGTTAGGATTTGTTGGTTTTTAAAAGGGTGCTTATTTTGTGGCGAAATTTTTTGCATAATATCGAGAGTCAATCTTGTTTTCTACTAGGGTTAGGGTTTGAATAATATTTCAGATGTGTTTCGTGTCCTTAATCTATATTTTAGCAATACGTATGCTCAAATCTGGTGATTATTATTTGTTTACTTATCATATTGTTTTAGGATCTCAGAAATCATAAAGTGTGTTAGGGTTTTGAATCTTTTGTTATATCCTTTAAAATTTTGTTAAATAGTAGGTTGGAGGTGGTTGTGGTGTTTGTGGAAAGCAAGACTCACGATGGGAGAGGTTGATACGAGTATAAATAAAATGAGGAGTCTATTTTTGCCGATTGTCCATCCATTTGTTTCCTTCTTCTGTCTCCTCCATTACTACCCGCTCCCAAATTAGGGTGGAATATATTCATCATTCCAACCCACATGCAACATATGTATGTCGTATATTTTTTCTCTCCTTTCATTTTCATCAATCTCAACCCATAACATTTAGAAATTCACCATTTTCTATCAGCTCGCCCTAAGCAATTGTATGATTTTTTTAAGAGGCAATAGTTTTTGGAATTATCGGAGTTACTGTCACTACTTTTGCCGTATGCTCTTCATCGTGTCTTGTTGTCTGTTTTCAAATTGTTGATCCAATTTAATATATTCTTTTTTACAATGGATTAACAAATTGATGCTACAAAAACAAAAGCAAATTAAAATTTCAACCTTAGTTTGCTAAATATGCATTTCAATAGTCGGACTTGATTTCGTCATCATTCTTCTGATGGTGGAATTAAACCTTGAAAATGGAACCTCATTTTCTCACAGTATGTGAGCCAAGGTTTGTCCAAACATATGACTTTGAATAATAAGGACATGAGAGTTTGAATCATTTTTCTCTAAATTGGGTTTTTTCGTCATTAAATGAAAAAAACACATGTAATACAAGAAGTTAGTGCTTAAAGATGATGAAGAATATCAAAGATTTTTTTATTCATTTCAGGGAATTTTATCGAATCTTTCATGTTCTTTTGTTGTTCATTTACCTTACAAGTTTATTTTGGTTAATTGGTTAAATGGAAGAAATAACAATGTACCTTCTTCAATTTTTTTATAATAACATTCTATTTTCTTGTGTTCTATTACTACATTGTACTTTGAAAAATCTATCCAATATAGCAACGTACGTTGCTATTTATTGCTCATAGCCATTTTTATTTTGTTCTGATTATACTAAATCAAATCCCATGGATCAATACGCAATAGTAAGAAATCACAAATATTTCCATTTTAGATATTTGACCATTAAAAAAATGAACAAATACAAGTCCATACATGATATTTGATACATTAAATCCGGTATCAAATACACATCAAGCTCGAATAGTCAACATCTTGTAGTGTAAGTTCACCAACATACATCTCACTTACATGATCCGAACACAACACAACACACATCCTATCAAAAACCCAACACTTGTCATCCAAATTCAAACCTCGATCCAACAACCGAATACGATACACAATCGTATCAAATCTCTCACAAAAATGCACACCACATCGATACAAACCCTCATCAAAAGCCAATCTTATCAACACCATACTCAAAACCCCATCCACGGGTTTCGGATCCACAAGATTCGTATCCCCCATCATCTTAATCTCCCTTTCACTAGGAAACCAAAACTCTTCACTCCCATCAACATCAAAAACCCTCAAATCTTTCGTGTAATGTCTAATAGCTTCTCGTTTACTTGATTCGTGTTTCTCAGCTAAAGTTAATAAACACGAAAATCGCAAGTGATAACTCACAATCGTTTTCACAAACTTGAAGTTTCTAGAACACGAATAGTAATTTAGCCATCTTTTTCCGATACCCGCGTACCATTTAATGATATCGATATCTTCAAGAACCGTGAGTAAAGTGATAGGTCTCGGACGACCCATGTCATTCGTGAACCCCGCTAATTTTACGGATTTTTTAATTAGTTTTTCAGGTGCATCGACTTTTATAAGAAGTTGGGTCAAATCTTTGACTGTTCTTTCGGTGTATTTTTGTTCTTCTTCTTGTTCTTGTTTCATTTTTATATCTAGTAACTTCTCTCGTGCTTTTATCGGGTTCAAATACTTGTCGACTTTTTCTTGAAAATTATCGTAAGATTGTATTAATTCTTCCGGAAGTTGGTCTCGGATTCTGTTTAAAGATAAAAAGTCTCCACCCGAAAGGTTTCGATACACGGGTGCACGTTCTTCTATTGATTTTAAAAACTCATCAACGGTTTCGCGGGCCCACGTGTCGAAAATTTCATGAATTTGTTTTTCGATTTTGAAATCGAATTTGAATCCGTTGCTTGTTTTGAGTTTTTTGTAGACATGTGTAAAGATTTTCATAGCGAGTTTTTTCCGATTTGCTTCTCTTCTGTTTTTAAGTTCGTGAAGTCTTACTTCTTTTTGTCTTAAGTACTTTTTTTTCGCCCTTATTGCCTTTTCGGACATTGGAGGATGCAAAACCGAGGGTGTTACTGCCCGAAGATCCATGCCTAAAAACGTAATTTCCTCGGACACGGCACTGTGAATGACGGTTTACCCCTATCTATCTCTAAACACAAATTCTTGTCTAGAAATTGTACAACTTGTTTCTTTAAATTCATGGTTAAACCCTTTGATCCGGATGTGATTACAAGTATTTCATCTAAGTACCTAACAGCGTATATCTTTAAGGGTTTATGAAAAACATGATTACTTTCATCTTCTTCAATCAATCTAGATTCTGGGGTTTTTTTGTTGATATGAAGACGTAGTTCTTGTAATCTTTGATCAAATGGGTTCAAGTAGATGTTAATCAAGATTGAATTCAACCCACATTCTTGAGGGAGCCCTTTTCCTAAATAAGATCCACCCAAATCAAGGGAAATTACTTTGGACATAATCAATCTCTTGATTATATCAATGAACATCTCATCTTTTATTTTTTCTTCTATAATCAAGCATAGGCTGTTTGTGTTTTCTATACTGAATTCCGTTTTATTGTTGAATGAAACAGTAAACCACCAAGAGGGGTTTTCCACAGTATTCTTTAGATAACGAATTGCAGTGTGTCTACCCATACCCACACGACCACCATAGCTAAAAGTTGCAAAACGATCATCATATATAACTTCTAAAACCATTCTAATGGATTCAATCAAGACCTTAAGTTTCAAGTTAGGAAGAACGAGAGAAATTGGTTCACCTTTGTTCGTCATTTTGAGGATGCATGACTCGAAACTGAATCTGTTTTGGCAGATCTCTTCAGACATATCCGTGATTGAGAAGAAATTAGATGAGATTGAGTCGATGGAAGGTGGTGCAGGTGAGTTTGGGCCGCCATGGATGAGGTTGTGGCAGGCTGTGAGGAGGACGGAGGGTGAGGAGATGATGTTCTGGAGAAGGTTGGAGAATTTGCCATGGTGGTATTGAGCGAGGACTAGGGTTGTCAGTTGGGGCTTTGTTAGGGGTTGTGTTGTGTCGGAGTTTGGTTTTTCCGGTGGAGAGAGAGTGGCCGGAAGTGCTGAGAGGAACCTTGCCGGAGAAAGAAAGGGAGAGGGAAATATACGCAATGCAGCGGTGGTTCGCCGGAAAAATAAAAGCATTGAACTGCGCGACCAATCTGTGCTAAACGTTCCTTTTCTCCATGAAATCCTTCAAAAAAAATGTAAAGATTAGGGGATAATCTAGACGAAGATAACAGGTTACGTCAGCGAAAACAACAATAGTTATTTCAGGCATTTCATCGAACACCTTCCAAGCATTTAAAATAACACATTACGCCACCAACTTAACAAGGAAAAATGGAAAATGACTATTTGAACCCTCTAAACTATTTTTTGCATATATAATAAACACATCATCCAACATCCAAATATGTCATATATACATCCTGAGATCACATTATTCTCTCTATAACAACATTTATGTAAAAGTTTGTGTATGTCAATGCCAGACACCTGCAATCAATTTAGCCACCAGCATTCAATCAATTCGACAATAAACTCGTTAAATAGGAACTGGTGCTATCATTTTAACCACCTGCACTCAATCAATTTGGCAATAAACTCATTAAAGAGGAAATGGTTTGGAATTTGATTATGGATAAAAAAACATCTGCAGGTAACTTCAATCATCAAACTCTCTAACATACACTTGACAAATAACTCTTAAATTTGAAGGATTTATGGATCCAAGCATCGATCCATTGGCCGAAAGTAAAAAAATCTAAAATTAACATTATTACACATAAAAAAAATAATTTTTTCCGCATTTAAACACCAAAATACCTAATGTTACCGTTCTTACACAAAAAAAAAACAAATTTTAACTGTTTGAAATCCTAATTACTTGATTCTCAAATTCCAACAACAAGAAAATGAAGGAACAATTCATATTAATCAACAATCTCAGCTCAATAGCTCATTTAGACAAACAACAAGCAATTGGACTATTGGAGGAAGTAACAACAGTGAACAGTCAATAATGTGTGAAATCTTTTAACTGTGTGAGTGTGAAATTCCTAGAACAAGCAATTAAAAAATTAAAAGTATACACAGTTAAAAGATCCGTCCCTGCTGTGTATACTTTTAATGTATGAACTCTTCTTATTTTTTTCATGTTGCAATCCAAAATACATACCACAGAATGAAGCAATTAAGATTTAAGCAAAATGGAGAAAAAAGGGAATTTAGAAATTCAGAATTACATACTTAATTTTCTGATTTTTCTTCCGTGAACTGTGAACAAGATTACAAGAAAGAACAAAGAAGAGAAGACAGAAATCAGAAGACTGAAGGTCTGCTGCTTAGCTGCTGCCGCCTGCGCCGGTGCGCCCTGCTGTGCTGCGTCAGTGCGTCTGCTGGTGGTGGAGGCAGGAGGTCGGACGACTACCAGCGATATTTCGACGGTGGTAATTGTGGCGTGCTACTACCAGCGATAAGCGACCAATGAAGAACAGAAGATGAGGATTGGGGTTCCGTTCAATTCACCTTCATTCGTTCACGTCTTTCCGATTGGACAGGAGGGGCCACAGCCCAATTTTCACTTAACTGGGCCTATATTTCGAAAATTTGAACTTAGTTGACTACTTCTAACCCAAAATTCAGGGGGCCAAGACCCCTCCTGGTCCTATTAATGATCCGTCCCTGCTATTAATTTATTGGGCCAGTTCTTTACAATTCGACCAATATCAGACCAATCGAAAAGTCGTCTTTGTAAATTACACTTGATGCAACACCAATTTCATACAAAATCGACTAGAATAAAAAAACGAGCAGCAAGAAAAGGATTGCAACACCAATTTCGAGGAAGAAAAACAAATCAAAAAACTTACCGGTGAAAGTGGGAGGATGCGAGGGGGAGGCGACGAAGGCGGAGACGGAGCAACACTGCCGGAGGCGGCGACGAAGCTGGAGGCTGGCAGGGAAGCCACCGACGCCTGTGGAAGAGGGAGAATGAGGGAGGACTCAGAGAAGCGCTCGATATGTAGAAAGAAGGAGAAGAAAGAAAAGAGGCGGACGCTTGTTGGTAGGCCAAGGACAACCGATGAAATTTTTTTTATTCAGACTCCTTTTTCTTGTCTTACCGAATTAGATCATTTTTTGGCACATCTTACCCATTAAGAGGGGAAAAAAGGTTCAACCAAACAGTCGGAATCTTAATGGTCTAGAGGCAGTCTCTTGATGGGATCATTAAGAGGGGAAACAAACAGCCCTTAAATAGGAATAATAGAACTTAAAAAATCAAACATTTTTCAAGTATCTAAGCACAAGGTGCGTAAATTAATAAAGGGGGAAGTAGATATTGATTAAATTGAGGGTTCAAAACTTTACCATTCAGGATATCTAGATATCAGGGGGATTTAGACGATATGTGTATGTTGAGAACTGGAGATGCAACGCATCAAACCAATGACTCTAGCAACTGATGAAGAACTATTAAGCGCGTTCTAGTTCTCTTCTCTAAGCTTAAGCTCGCTTCTCACTTCTTACGGTGTGTTTCGGTCGCAAGAGGAAAAAACGTGTTCAAATTAGTTCATGAAGGAGGAGAAAGGACAGGCTTTTATTGAAGGAAGATGACCGCGATGGAAGAAGATGGCGTTCGGGGAAGAAGGCAACTCCGGCGAAGAGTTGTCGCATCTGGCAAGTGCACCGGAAGTACAAGGGTTGCAACATATACAAGTTTTTTTTTTTTACCAAATACGATGTGTTTTTCAAAATTTTATTTATCTCATACATATAAATATTTAACTTTAAAAAAATCTAAACATATTCCTGTTTCTCTAATATATTTTTTGACTTTTTTTTATTTAACAAAACTAAAAAAATAGTCATTGTTGTGGTATGTATTTTTTTCGGATTTTGGTCCAAACCTCAAATTTTTTAAATTCGTGGTCCTTTTAAGCTAGTATGTTTGTGGTTTTGGTTCCTCAGAAAACTGAAAAGACTAAAAACTTTTGATGTATTTGTTTTTCTTCCTTCTTTCATGTTTTTAAAATTGAATTTTTTTTAGACAAAAATGCAAGAATTGTCCCTGTGGTATGTCAAAAATTGCTACTTTGGGCCAAACAGGTTTGAACTAGCACTAATAGTCCAAAAGTTTTCATTTTGCTGCGGTTTTGGTCCAAATCAGTTAAAAAATCTAAAAATGACGGATTTGCTCTTTTCCATTTGTTTTTGGCCTTTTCTTTTTGTTATTTAATTATTTTCTAACTAATAAAATAAAATAAAATCTCTCTCTCTCTCTCTCACTTCTACAACCTATTCCCCTTCTACCACCTCCATCATATGAGTTCAAATAATAGGGGATTTTCCGGCAACCACCAACACCAGTCGGATTTTTCTGTAACCACCAACACCAACCGGATTTTCCGGCAACCACCACCACAGTCTGCCACCACCACTGTTCTCCACCACCCACAGATGAACAAACATACACGAAATCAGATGAACACACAAACACATGAAATCTGAAGAAAACATAAACAAATCAACACAAACATTCATCGATTTTTCAACAGATTCAACTCAAACACACAAAACCCAAAAATCGATTTTCTCTCTCTCTCTTCTCTCTCTCTCGCACGGATCTGAAACACCATTTTTCTTCTTCTTATTCTTCTCTCTCATAGAACAGAACCGCCGCCTCCTGAGAATCGACAAGATGAACAGAACACAAGCCCTAGCACCGCCGGAGTTCGTGGGTAACGAGGGTTTGCAAACGATAGTTTCAGATCTGCCGCTTCCTGAGAATCGACAAGCTTCATTTTTACAAAACTCAAGCCCTACCACCATTTCAAACCGTCCCCACTGTTTCTCGACCCTCTTGGCTCCATCAAATGACCCTCAGGTGAGCTTCAATCGAGTTTGAAGAAGGAAAGAATAAGGGTCTGAGGTTTTCAGAGGCTGCCACCATTCTCGTTTTTTGAAACCCTAGGGTTTTCAGAGGTTGTCGCCGTTACAATCCCTAGCTTCGATCTGTGTGTCGTAGCCTGGAACTTTTAGGGTTAGGGTTTCGCTGCCAGAGCTTCGATCTTGTGGCGTTCATCTCTTCTGCCGGTGGTGTTCAATCTTTCCGGTGAGAGTGAAGCTTGGGGGAAAAAGTGAGGGTGGTGACGTTCTCTTAGCTGGAGAGAGAGAGGGGGGGGGGGAGGGAGGGAGGGAGAGAGAGAGAGAGAGAGAGAGAGAGAGAGAGAGAGAGAGAGAGAGAGAGAAATGAGGAAGAGAGAGAGAGTGAGAGAGAGAGAGAGAGAGATTCTCTTCTTTTATTTTATTTTTATTTTTTAGTTAAGAAAACAATTAAATAAAAAAAAGCAAGCAAAAAACAAATAGAAAGGGGTAAAATCGTCACTTTATAAAAAATCAAACCAAAATGGACCAAACTCGCAACAAAATGAAACGTTCTGGACCATTAGTGCTAGTCCAAACTTGTTTGGCCCAAAGTGGCAATTTTCGATATACCACAGGGACCATTCTTGCAATTTTGTCTTTTTTATTACTTTAATAATTAAAAATTAAGAAAGAACCATTCCCTCACACACACACAAACGCATGCTCGCACACACTGTCATTCTCTACTAGGGGTGAGCATTTGGACCTTTGGACCGGATGTAGACATAAACCCATTTTTTAACCCTCGGGCCGATTCTCGGTTCTAGAAATTTATCAAAATCGGTCTGGTTTTTTTACAGGTTCGGTCCGACCGGTTCGGGATAAAAATTGGTTTTGCACCTGATTATTTAAAAATGCATATATCAGTCATTTTAAGTTAGATTGACATGCGATTTTTTCTAACATGTAACTTAGAGTCTGTACATGAGTTTGGACTATAATTTTATCGTTTTTGGTGTTATATTCAATAAATTACAATCCTTCAAAGTTGGGATATCAAAGCTAAAATATTTCAGCTTTTCAACTATTATTTAAAACTTTTGTATTCTGTTAAAACTTAAAATCTTTAAACAACCATATCTCATTCCTTTTAAGTCGGATTGACATTTGGTTTTTACCAAAGTGTAATTTAGAGTTTGTACATGAGTTTAGAATATAATTTTATCGTTTTTGGTGTTATATATAAATGAAGCATTTTTCCTTTCACCGCATTCATTTGAAACTCTCATTCAATTTTCCTTTCACCACATTCATTTGAAGCTCCCATGACTTTTCAATTTCTTTCTAATTATAATTATAAATTGGTTAATAATGTTAAATAAATATCAAGCTTAGAGTGTAATCATATATAAACTAAATTTCAATATTAAAAGAATATATATTTTTTTCTACTTATAAACTTATGTTTTTAACTTTTAACATATTATACTTAATTTATTAGGTCTAATATGTTGTTGTATGTAAACCGTTATCATTTTAAAGTTAATTTGTATAAAATACTTAAATTGTTAATTTAAATATAACATTACAGGATCAACTTAAATATAAATTTGAGTTCAATTTAAACAGCCCAAATAATATTTTGTAAATAGTTAAAAGTAATAAATTGTAGTGTCTTTCTAATAATTATTATAAGTTGGTTAATAATGTTAAATAAGTATCAAACCTAAAGTGTAATCATAAATAAACTAAATTTCAATATAAAATAATACTTTTACTTCTACTTATAAAGTTATGTCTTTAACTTTTAACATATTATACTTAATTTATTATATTTTAATATGTTGTTTTATGTAAACCATTATTAGTTTAAAACAACAACTTTTGAACAGTTTGGATAAAATACTTAAATTGTTAATTTAAATATAATATTAGAGGGTCAACTTCAATATAAATTTCAATTCCACTTAAAAAAGTCAAAGAATATTTTGTGAATAGTTAAAAGTGATAAATTGTATTGCTAAATGCAAATACAATTTAACTAAAATATTTCATAAATATATTTTTGTAATCGTTAAAAGTTTTCAAATAAGTAACTTAAAATAACTTACAATAACAATAGTTGAAAATAACTCTATATAAATAATTATATTGTTACCTTTAAAATCAAAAAAATGTTTGATATTTTAAATAATTACAATGATAGAAATTAAAACGTAAACAATTAATTTTAAAAAAATAATTAACAATAACAACAACTATAAATAACATTAAACCATATATTATATTTAATTTTATTCATGAGTAACCCGCGGGTAGAGATCATTCAAAAGATTGAGATTATGCAGTTTTAATAGATGTATATATTATCATATAATTCAAAATAATCAATATATTATATCAACTTAGTATACGAATTATTATATCAAAGTTAATCACAATATTATTGTTATTTAAAAAAAAACATATATTTATAAAGATTTCAGCAATATAGATGCTTCTGAGCAACGCGCGGGCATTCGTCTAGTTTATAATATAATTTTGTCGTTTTTTGTGTTATATTCAGTAAATTACAATTTTTTAAAGTTGGGATATCAAAGCTGAAATATTTCAGCTTTTCAGCTATTATTTTAAACTTTTGTATTATGTGAAAATCTTTAAACAAGCATATCTTATTCATTTTAAGTCGGATTGGAATATGGTTTTTTTCCAATGTGTAATTTAGAGTTTGTAAATGAGCTTAGGCTATAATTTTGTCGTTTTGGTGTTGTATTCAATGAATTACAATCCTTCAAAATTGAGATATCAAAGCTGAAATATTTCATTTTTTCATCTATTATTTTATACTTTTGTATTGTGATGTTTGTTAGTTGGATTATTTTAAAGTTTAAACTATAATTTTTGGTGTTATGACAATTACTTTTGTATGTTTGTGTTAAGATTGTTAGCTTTTGTTGGTATTGTTAACTTTTGTTGGTAAACTTGATTCATATGTGATATGTTAGTTGCTTTTATTTGCATTTATTTGCTTTTATATGTTAGTTGTTTTTATTTGGAAAATTAATTTTGCATGAAATATGATAAATTCGTTAACTTATTTGATTCAAAGTTCAAACAAATGGTATAAAAAATTAAAGTTTGACCGATCCAACGAGTACAAGAAACAGAAACGTATTTATTTTTATGAGTTGTACCGTGTCAAACGCAAAAACATATTCATTTTAACGAGTTATAATGTATCAAACCCAACAACATATTCGTCTTAACGAGTTGTATCAAACACCAAAACGCATTTTAACGAGTTGTACCGTATGAATGTAAAGTTGTATCGGTCCAACCGATCCAAAAACTGGAAAACTCAAAACTGGACCTAGACTTGGACCGGTAAGCCTCATTCGGTCAGGTCCACAATATTCTCCGAAAACCGGTCCGGTCCGATCCAAATGCTCACCCTTATTCTCTACCTTTCTCTTTATTTCAATACCCTCACCTCAATCTCTATTAACCTCCACCCAATCAAAAAACTAGGTTGCTCCTTAGAATTATTTGCGCAGTTGTCATCACATCCATGGAGCAAACTCATATCAATAGGAAGACATCAACAAATTGTCCAAGAAGAGAAAAATGATCGAAATCCATCCCATGTGAACTTAATCCCCTGAAATTTCCACGACCCATGTTTTGTGAATCGAGCAACTCCTTTAACAATTGTAGTAAATAACTCATCGTAGTTTCTTCAACCAGGTTGGGGATTGAATTTGAAGAATTCGAAACCCCTTCTACCACAGCTAGAGCAGGGGACTACTGTT